AGAAAGAAAGAAAGAAAGAAAGAAAGAAAGAAAGAAAGAAAGAAAGAAAGAAAGAAAGAAAGAAAGAAAGAAAGAAAGAAAGAAAGAAAGAAAGACTCTCATCTTAAAGGGAAAAGAGATAGTTTGTTCTGGAGCCATTCTGAGTGACCATAGCCCAAGACCACAGATTTAGGTTACCCCCAAATTCCACATTCCAATGTGGAAGCAGTTTCATGGAGGTTTATAGTTTTGCAGACTTACAAAGAAAGTCATCAACAGAGGCAAGTTCAAAATACATCAGTGGGTCCACCAGAGAGGCAGCAGGCTGGAGGACGCTTTTTCCAAAGACCCACAATGCTCTCTGACGACTTTCTCAACTGTGGGGTGGGTGGAAACCATTGGCCTGCCCAGTCCATAGATTCCAAAAGCTTTTTATCTATTAGTCACAAGATGTGAGTTCTGACACAGAGGTGAGCAAGGCATGGCCCTTTAGGAAGGCTAGAACCAACCCCAAATAAGGTAGCCTCTGGACTTGCAACATCCCAACATCTCCATGGTACTGCAATTCTAGTCTGTCAGTCTGTCTCTGCAGACACAGCGGCATTCCATGACTTCTCATCCACAGACCCATGCACGGTTCTGAACCCTCGGAAGCTCTGTGGCCCTCTTCCAGGGGGTGGGGCCTCCAGTTGCTGCCTCTAGCTGCTTCTCCGATCTCTTCTGTTGCCTTTGTACTGTTGCTGGGTGAGTCTGGAGCTGGAAAAAAAAAAAAATGGCCATTTAGGAGTAGCCTTTTTGTTGTTGTTGTTTTTGTTTTTGTTCTTCGAGACAGGGTTTTTCTGTATAGCTTTTGTGCCTTTCCTGGAACTCGCTTTGTAGCCCAGGCTGGCCTCGAACTCACAGAGATCCGCCTGGCTCTGCCTCCCAAGTGCTGGGATTAAGGGCGAGCGCCGCCGCCGCCACCGCCCAGCCAGGAGTAGCCTTTATTGAGGGGTCTAATGTAGACAAGGTAGAGGGTAGACTGCCACAGAGACACCTTCGGAGATGACCCCCAAAACACTGAAAAGCAACCTGCATATGTAACCAGAAGAGAGATATGGCATATTTAGGTAGTCGCTACTTCCACCAAGCACAGCCTCGACTTCAACCAATCACAAGCTCCACATATTTGTACATGCACCAATCACATATACACCCTCTCCTCCCCCTCCCCCACCCTCTTCAGTGAGCATAGCTACAGGACGGATAAGATCAACTGGCGTTTACCGAAAGCTTGGTTCCCGCCAAAGCAACATTTCCCAAGGCTGGTGTAAGTTGTCTGAAGCAGACAGGACCAAAGCAAGGTCTCCTGAGGCAGAAATCATGGTTTCCTGGGAGAGACTGGATGAACCACGTGCAAAGCAGCCAGGCCGTCATAATGATAATGCAAATGCCGAAGAAAGGGACTGCTTGACTGAAAGCTTCCTGCACAAGGCAGCTGGGGGGTGGCGGATGAAGGATCTGACAGCTGTCAATCAAAGGGCTTGGCCCAGCACTTAAAATCTTAGTGGATTCGGAGGAAAACTAAACTAAACTTGAAAGGACTCAGACACTTAAGATCTCTATAAAGTTAACATTCCTACACGTGTTTACCAATGCTTACATCCTAGCCTCATATCGGAAGGAAGTGCTGGGGCCCTCTGATCTGTCTCATGCTTCTCTCGGGGTCTCATCATAGAGCTTATTACTACCCACGCCCAATAATAGCACGATTCCCAGCCTCCACTCTGCTTTGATTTTATCGCTAGCCTTTCTTACCCTGAGATCTGCTTGTTTTCTCCTTCCCTTACAAGGATGCAGGCTTTGTGAAGGCTGAAATTTCATCCTACTGTTTTCTCGCATCTCAAACAATGCCTACCACAGAGCTCTGTGTGTCAATGAACAAACAGCCACTCCTGAGGTTGGCATATTTGATTCCCTTTTTATTTATGAATTGGGGCTTCTAGTGAGGTTTACAGCAGCCTCCTTTGCAAAATGAACTGGAACAATGACTTAAAAAACTTACTGTCACAGACAGTAAACCAGTCACCTGAAGTTCAGGGTGAGCCCCTCGAAGCCCCTTACTCCAGTTCAAATCCCTCACTTTCCAAGAATTCTTCAGGAGGAGCTGAGGAAGCTCACCGCTTAGTCTTAATCCTGCTATTCAAGTGCCCAAATTCCAACCAGCAGGAATCCTCTTTCTGTTCTCTGTCAAGCCAACCATCAGCCCTGCGAGGTGATGAGAGCCCTGACCCACCCAGATCTCCTGTCTTTGGCTTCTCTGCAAGGAAAATTCATTGCACAAAATGAGAAGACGCTGTGAGAAGGAGAACTTTGTCTTTTAACCTCACACTTGTCAACACAGTCAAAAAACAACAACCTTGGTTAACTGCATGTCAGCTCATCTTCCTCACTGGAGAATGGAGCAGCCCAGCTGGCTGGTGACAAGGCCCAGCAGGCATGGTGCTGGCCTAGCTTGCACGAATCTAGGCACTACCTAAAACCATAAAGGGTGGCACATGTCCAGTATCCCTAGTGTTCAAGATGTGGAGGCAGAAGGATCAGAAGTTCAAGGTCATCCTCAGCTATAAAGCAAGATCAAGGACAGCCTGAGCTCTTGGAGACCCTGTCTTAAAAACCAGATGTGGGAGCCGGGCAATGGTGGCACATGCCTTTAATCCCAGCACTCAGGAGGCAGAGGCAGGTGGATCTCTGTGAGTTCAAGGCGAGCCTGGTCTACAGAGCGAGATCCAGGACAGGAACCAAAATTACACGAAGAAACCCTGTCTCAAAAAAACTAAAATAATAATAATAATAATAACAACAACAACAATAACAACAGATGTGGGGAGGAGGGAGCAAGAGAGAAGCAGAAACTCCTTTCTCAAATAACTAAAGAAGCCCTGGTGGAAGCTAGGGCAGTGGCACACACCTCCTTTAATCCCAGCACTCAGGAAGCAGAGGCAGGCAGATCTCTGTGAGTTCGAGGCCAGCCTGGTGAGTGAGTTCCAGTACAGCTAGGGCTACATGGAAAAACTAAAAAAAAAAAAAAGAAAAGAAAACTCAGATACTAAGAGGGATTTTAAAACAAATTATGGAGGGACAGATGCCCTGTGAAGGGCTAGGCTTTGCCAAAACCAGGGTACCATTTTTAAGGTTCTGATCCTTAGTCTACCATTTCTAAGGTGGGAAAGTTAGGAATTCTCAGACCTCCACAAATACTGTATGAGTGTTAGTATATGCCTTCAAAAATACCTCTTACATCTAAATTAATAAAATTACTTATTTCATTATAGCTCAAAAATCAGATTATAGAAGCATGGTATTGTATATTTTCAGATTCCGTACCCAGAGAATAATCTTCTATATTTTGACATGCAACAGCTCACAGAGTATATTGTTCCACACTAAGATTTGAGAGGGATGAGCATATAACTAATTATTAAAATTGACAATAGTTCATGGTACAAAAGCTTTCTTCCTGCAGCTTAAATACTGGTTCTTTGCCTGAAATTCTTCTTGTCATAAAATGCTCTCAAAATGGCCAAAGAAAACTAAATACCCATCAAGGAAAGAACAGGAGGTATTTTTTGCAACAAATTACCCAGTAGTTTCTGGTTCCACACCAGAAAGTCAGATACCTGCCACAAAGGAGGAATTCCATAGGCTTCCCTGAGCTGTTGAGTCATAGGTTTTTTTTCCTTCCACTAGTTCTAGCAAAAGGACATTGAATCAGCGGCACGTGTTCATAGCTTCATTTTAATTACCATTTTAAAATGCTCAGATTTTTGTTTTGTTTTGTTCTTTGTTTTTTTGTTTTTTGGAGACAGGGTTTCTCTGTGTAGCTTTGCACCTTTCCTGGAACTCACTCTGTAGCCCAGGCTGACCTCGAACTCACAGAGATCCGCCTGCCTCTGCCTCCACCACCACCCAGCTAAATGCTCAGATTTTTAAACCATGGGGGACTCACTCATGTACACTGTTCATCACATACAAGTCAGTATTTGAAATCATTAAATTCTCATTGCACCTTCCTGTTGTCCATAAACTACTCCATCTATATTTGATGTTGCGTATTTAAATAACTTGTTTATATATAATTTTTTATTTTAAAAAATGTCTTTCCTTTTACATACCAACCCCTGTTCTCTTCCCTCCTCTTCTCACATCCCCCCCCTCCTGACCTACTCCCATCCCACCCTCATCCCCTCCTCCTAGAGGGTAAAGCCTCCCTTGGGTAGTCAACATAGGATGGCATACCAAGTTGGGGCCGGACCTAGCCCCTCCCCACTGCATCAAGGCTGAGTAAGGCATCGCACCATAGGGAATGGGGTCTAAAAAGACAGTTCCTGTACCTGGGATAAGTCCTGGTCCCATTGCCAGGGGACTCACAAACACATCAATCACGCAACTTTCACCCATATTCAGAGGGCCTCGTTTGGTCCCTTGCAGGCAAGTCAAACTTTCGCTATTTGCAGATGATATAACAGAATACATAAATGACGCCAAAAATTCTACCAGTTAAGATAAGGCCCCGAATAAGGCAACCAAAGTTAGGTAAGGTCACTAAGGTAAGTCCTAGCCAATGTGACCTACACCTGTCGCCGAGAAGGAAGACCACATGAAGACATTGTGAAAAAAAACCCAGCCATCTCCAAGCTGGTCTCAGATGTCTCAGCCTCCAGGACTGTGAGAAAATAAATTCCCCTTGCGGTAAACACCCAGCTTTGTGCACTTTATCTTACAGCAACCTTGGAAAGCTAACACAAAGCTTTCTCCTCATTACGGAGGAGAAACGACACACCCCTACTGTGGGATATCTGTACACCATGTGAAGATGTATTGGTGTCATAAAAAGCTGAACAGCCAAACGCTAGGCAGGAGGTGTAGGTGGAGCTTCCAGATAGAGAGAAGGAGGAGGAGGAATCTAGGTGCCCAGGAGATGCCAGGAGACACAGGGAGGAAACAGGAGGTGCAAGATGGAAGAGATGTGACACCACGTGATAGGACGTAGATTAATATAAATGGCTTGGTTTAGGTTATTAGCGCTAGGTGGGAACAATCCTAAGCTATAGGCTGAGCTTTTGTAATTAGTAAGAAGTCTCGGTGTCATTATTTGGGAGCTGGCTGGAGGGACAGAGAAAGACTCATTAACACACATTGACACAATCACCATGCCTAGGCACACTGGTGTGGATGGACAGAATGAGGACTCTCATAAGAAGCACTTTCAGTAGTGGCTGAAACTTGATCTCGGGTTTCTCTTTATTTTCTTCTTTAAGCTCAAAGAACTATTAACACGGGTAAGGAATCCTAGGAAGGTAGATAAACAGCTGAACATTTGTACTCAAGAAAGAGCAAAATCAAGTTTACTCCGGCCATCTTCCCCATACCCTTATTCCTAGAGACCATGGAACTACCATTTCCCCAAAACTCACAGTTCTAGGTAGGGGTCCAACTCTGTCGCAGCCTAAGGAAAATCAGTCCCCTTAGCAAAAAAGTCAAACCTGCTGGGCACCTCATCTCTGAGGGTTTCTCATCTACGAATGTAGTCAAGCATAAATTGAACCTGAAGATAAAATCACATGTGTAGTGAACACAGCATTTTGGCTTGTCATTACTGCCCGAACAATAAAACGCAGCTGCTGCTTAGATAGCATTCATATTTGAGGTATTAAAAGTAACCCAGATGTGGGGCTGGGGATTTAGCTCAGTGGTAGATCACTTACCTAGCAATC